AAAAAAAAAAAAAAAAAACTCACTTGTCAGCTGAGCTTTGGACAGTTTCTCTCCACAGCTGTGATCTTGGGTGCTGTCCTGCAGCTTTAGCCATTCCTGTGCTTGAAAAAGGTGAAGTCTGGCCTCTTTTTCAACAGCTGCTGCTACATTGTTGATTCTGATATACAGAACAGCATGGTCACCTTGATATTTAAAAAAATAAAATCAACTACATGTCTTATGCGGATCACACAGATAAAACTGGAAGAGTACCTAGACAGCTATAGCAGTACCTTTTTAATGCATGTCACAGATCCAGATGGACCACTCTTGGTCACTCTCCAGACTACTGTAAGGGGGCTCACTTCATTGGGCCACGTGTGCTTTAGGTCACCAGAGCATAAGCATGGTCCAGTCACTGCCCCTGGTCTGGAATCCCTAGTCATACTCTTGAGGGGCAGTTCCTATATCACACCCTCTCCAGAGAGCGGAGACCTCACAGTCCAACTACCCAGCCCCTAGGACCAGTACTGACCCCTCAGTCTCCCTTGTAGCTTCTCTCCCAGAACTCCAGCACTTCTGGGGTCCACAGGTTAATTCTTCAAGTGCATGCGATGGGTATACCACATAACACACAGACTGACTTTGCACAAGAGTCTAAACCACCATTGCTCTTTATTCAATCGCACAAGAAATATGCACATCTATATAAAAATAATAAACCCTGCATGCATTTCCCTGCCTTGGTTTTCTGACCACCTCAGATCATTCTTTGGGCTGGGATCAGAGTCCTCTGGTGCTGTCCAGGGTTCCTCTGCTGCAAGACATAGCTTGCCGCCTTGCCTTCTCAATTACGAAGCCTCCCTCTTGGTCATCTTGCTTTGACCTTGGTTGGTCCTGCAGCTAACTCAACCACCCCCTGCTATGAAGATATACACATCTCTTCCTTTCTCTCCTACTCAAAGTTCCTGAGTGGCTCTGAGAATCCCTCAAGTTTCTGTGCCCTACCACAACACCTCGTTGTTTTGTTCTGCTGTTGGTAATTTTCCATTTGTCAAGCTCCTTCAAATTTCAGCCCCCTACAGAACAAGGAGTAATGGTCTCAAGTTGCAGTGGGGGAGGTTTAGGTTGGATATTAGGAAAAACTTTTCCACTAGGCCGGTGGTGAAGCACTGGAATGGGTTACCTAGGGAGGTGGTGGAATCTCCTTCCTTAGAGGTTTTTAAGGTCAGGCTTGACAAAGCCCTGGGTGGAATGATTTAGTTGGGAATTGGTCCTGCTTTGAGCAGGGGGTTGGACTAGATGACCTCCTGAGGTCCCTTCCAACCTTGATATTCTATGATTAAGCTGGAGGAAGTGATTTCCTCTAGCTCCAGCCAACCTTCTTAGCATACCGACTGACTAGTCATACAGTCATTGAGGTTAACTAGGGACTTGGAGTCACACACTTTGTACCATCTGTAGGTCAAGCTTACTGTATACACCAGGAGTGGAATGCATGCATCCCTGTATTCCATCCCTCCACATGCTCCCTGTGTGCGATCCTCCCATTCCCCTTTGTTTCAGGGGCACCCTGCAACTCCCTCGCATCTCCATCCTGACCAGGTCTCAGTGTGCCCTCCAATCTCACCTCCTCCCATACCAGATGGATCCCCATTCTCCTATCCCTTACCCCACACCCAGCAGCTCTGAGTGCACCCCAATTTCCACTTCCCCATGCCCTCCATACCCCTCACAGGAAGAGACTCTCTGTAACCCCCATTCCCCCTCCCACACCAGGGGGGGGATGTGTGCATGCCTCCCTGGCCCCTCCCCCGCAACTCTTCTTTCTGTCTGAGTGCTAAGTTATCCAGGGTGTCAACATGTTGCACTCTATTGGGAGGATAGGTAGAGACAAGATGGGGTACTGTTATGCTGGAAGGTGTTAAAGGGTGCCATCAACCTGTTGTTTGTTCTACTGCCAACTGCAGAGGTGTTTGAGGTGGTGGCTGTGCTAAAGAGCTGGCAGGGAAATTGGAGGGAGTAATGGCCATTGATGCCTAGAACATTCCCTGAAATTTTGGAACTGATTGCATGTGGTGTTTGAAAGTTATTACATTAGACAGACAGACAGGCTGTCAAATTGAATACAAAACCTTTGCAAGCCCAGCCAACTACTCTCCATTGAACACCATTCTCATGATCTTAACTTGCACAAAATCCTAACTCTGGCCTCAGTAACATAAACATAAATGTATGTTATACTTTAAACAACTAAAAAAAAAAAAGCCTTCCAGATAATTGTCTCCCCCTTTCCTCACAATTTACATCTGTCCAAGGTCCAGGAATTGTTCTATTCAGTTTTGTACTAGTGACTGGTTAAAGATCCTTTGGGCTAGAAAGAATAGATTCCAAGCTTCCCTATGGAATGTAGCACTTGATTCTAAATCTGGAAGGGCTTGAGATACTAACCTTTAAAATCACGATTATTTTATCGTCTGCTGTAGAGTAGAACTGATGAGAACTAAGATACTTAAATATAAATAAATACAAAACAGCACCAATTTTTTTTAAAAAAAAAGAACTTCTAGAAGTTAGTCAGTAACATGGGGTGCGTGTAGATATACACGGCAAATATATGGCCTGGTGAAAAAGTTTTATTTGTTTGAGGATAACTTGCATCACTCAATATTTCATCACTTGTGAATAAATCAGATATCCCCAACTCATGCCAGTAAATCCATTTATTCCACACCATCATGTGGTCTTTACATTAAATATAATACATACCCCCCATTCTTAAAAGAAAAAATTCTTAGAATCGAGAATTCTAGTCAGAGTAAGTCAAAACAATACAAATGGCAAAAATATAAATGTCTTCAAATTTATGTCGGCATTGTTTTGCTTTTAAACTCTAAAGACTCCCACCTCTTTTCCACCTCTTGTGTATTATCTCTTACACTCGTATCTAATTCAGGCACTAATCCGGCAACTGGCTCTGAGCAAGTGGACTTCCATTGACCTAAATGGGGCTCTGCACAGGAGCAGGGGTTCACCACACAGAGTCAGTTGCAGGATAGCGGTCTCACATGGTAAGAACTTGGTGACAGGGATAGTGTCTTAGATATCTGTAAAGCACTATGCATGTCTATGGTACAGGCTAATCATTCTTCATCTGCATAATTAGACCTTTCATAAACGTGTCCCAATAAAAGACATAAAAATTGTTTTATAACATTATTATTAATAACTGATAACCTGTACAGAGGTGTTTGCAGAAGAGGCATTTTCTGGGAAACATCCTGACATGTTAAGGGCACATACATATAGTAAGTGGAGAAAGCTACAAGGCTCCTTGAAACTTTCTGATTGAGGAATGTAGAGTATTAAGTATCATTCTAGTTACTATTTAGTGATTTAACATATAATCTGAGTTACTATTAAAATTAAGCAAACATAATGCAAAATACCTTCAAGATAATTAAAAAAAAAAAAGTATTATTACATGGCAACTCTTTTGTAGCCAAAGCTCATAAAACTCTTGGCTCTGCCACTGGCTTGCTATGTGGCTTTGGACAAGTCGCTACCCCTCCGTGCGTCCCACTTTCCCCATCTGTAAAATGGATAGTGATAGCGATCTCCTGTGCAAAGTCACTGAGACAGACTGATAACAGTATCTAGTTCTTAATGTGCTTTCATCACTATATAATCTATTAGGATATTTGGGCACTAGCAGAGGCAAACTAGATTACTGAAAGGCCTCTTCAGGTATGGGTACACTGACATCAAAAACCCTTGCCATCTCACTCAGGCTTACAGGACTCTGGCTAAGGGGCTGTTTAATTGTGGTGTAGACATTTGGGCTCAGGCTCTAGGACCTGCAAGGTGGGAGGATCCCAGAGTTCCAGCTGCAGCCCAAGCCCAAACATCTATACTGCAATTAAACAGTTCCTTAGCCCGAGTCAGCAGGTTTTTAAATTACAGTGTAGACATACCCTGAATGGTTTACCTCCAAGGCCTGGTCTATACCTAAAACTTAGGTTGATCTAGCTACAATGCTCAGAGCTATTAAAAATGTCATGCCCTGTGCAACATAGTTACCTCGACTTAACCCACACTGTCAACACAGTCTGGTCAATGGAAGAATATTTCCTTTGATCCAGCTGCTGCCTCTCAAAGGGGGGCAAGGGTTAACTACAGCGATGAATCCCCCCTTTCCCGGCTGTGGGGAGCGCCCACGCTCGGGCTGCAGCCACTGTAGCGCGGACATTCCCTAGTCGCCCTTCCAAACCTGTTGCAGGCCCCCTCCGGCTCCTGGCACGCGTGTGCGCCCGGCTCCACCCGCGGACAGCGCTGGGCTCGGGGGCGCCAGGCAGGGCTCGCCACCCAGCCCAGCTGTGGTAACAGGGGCGGGGCCTCACGCTGCAAACGGGTCCCGCGGCCCCCAGACGCGGGTTGCGGAGCCGCCGGCTCCCACCCGCGCCCGGAGCGGCAGCGGGCACCTACCGTGGAACTGGAACCGCGCCGCCGGCTGCGCCCCGCCCCCCGCGCTGGAGAAGCGGCCCCGCAGCGTCTTCCCCTGGGCGCCCCGCAGCCACCAGCGGCTGCTGCCCACGGCCACGCAGAGCAGCCACAGCAGCCGCCCCATCCCCGGCAGCGGCACGGGTCCCCCGCCGCCTCTGTATCACGTGACAGTCCCCCGTGCACAGCTGGAGCCGGCGGAGGGAGAACCAATAGGAACAGAGTACGAGCCACGGGGCGGAGCCAGCGCCTGCCTCGCCTCCTCCATTGTTATTCCCCCCTCCCTCCTGCAGCGAGAGCCCGAGACTCGGCCCGTCGCCAGGCCGCTACGTGTCCGTTGCTTAGCTTGGACATACGGCGGCCAAGTGTCGTGAAACCGTATTTTACGGCTGCCATGGAGGGGGCGGGTGAGAGGGTAGGCATGTTTCGGGGGACCCCCCCAGCGTCCGTCTGCTCTCTGCTGGGGGGGGGCTGCCCCTGCCCAATCCATGGACCCGCGCCGCCGCTGGCGCACCCCTCCACCCGCGCGCTCCCGACGTGAACGCGGAAGAGGGCAGTAGGATAGGGTATCACTGTGCACGCGCGGGGAAAGAGGGACCGCTTCGCCCATGCGCAGTGGCGGAAAACGGGGTGGTGAGACACAACGCCGGGAAGTGACGGCAGGGGGCGAGCAGCGGTAGTGCCGTAAAGCGCGGATGATGTCGGGCGCTGGGGGTCCTGGGGCTGCCGTGGGGTCTTCGGGCTTTGCCAAGCGGCTCCTGGTGACGGGCGGCGCCGGGTTCATGTGAGTAACGGGCGCGGGGGGCGGGGTCTGAGCCGCGAGCCGTCTCCCCGCGGCGGCAGTAGCGGCGCCTGGGAGTGGGGCGGGGTGAGTCTCTGCCGCTGTCCCGCCGCTGGGCCGCCGACCCGCATCCCCTTGCAGCGGCCGGGGACCCCCTCGCTGTCTGTGAGGCCGTCCGGAGCCCCGCTTGGCGGGGTGCGAGCGCAGCCTCTGCCCCTCCGGGACAGCCGGGGGTGGGGCGGGTTCCTCCCCTGCCCGCTCCTGCCCATGTTGACAGGCCCGGGGCAGGTAACCGCACGCTCGAGCAGTTCGCAGCAGCACAGCGCTAAAAGCCGCTTCAGAGACTGTGCCTGCGGCTGAGTCCCCGCGCCAGCTTCCGCCGTCCCGCACGTCCCCATGCCCAGAGTTGTCTTTCTTTTGCTGGTTGCTGTGTGAAAGACTTGCGCAAACAGGGAGAGCTGGCGATGACCCTGACCCTGGAAACTGGCAGCTCTGCCCTGGCGGATAGCTGCGCGGAAATGGGCTGCAGTGGCAATACAGGGGATATAGAAAAATAGCATGTCAAATGCAGTAACTAAATGGTAGGTGGGAAACTTCCGCCTTCTTTTTATTATAGTGCTCCTGGATGTTATCAGTAAGGTTAAGTTTTTGTCACTGTTTAGTAAAAATCAGGGCTTGGAGTTTCGGGGTTGCTGCGGCTTGGAGTTTCGGGGTTGCTGCCCCCGGGCCCCAAGTGGAAAATGTCACGGAGGTCTTTAGTTATCAGCAGTAAACAAACAATTTCAGACAAAAGTAGTTATCTATTCAGTTTAGTGGCCCTTTATGGCAAAAGCTGCATTCTGCTTTCTTTACCAAGTTGAAGGGACAACAGTTTATACTAATTACCTTATATATTAAATATTTCTCATTCACATGCAAGTTAGCACATAATGGAGATCGGAGAGGATGATACATCAAATTAGCTGTCTGTGGAAGACTGATATGTGGTCTACACTTAAAAGTTTTGCTGGCATAGCAACTGGGGGGAGGGGTATCACACCTCAAAACTACATAACAATGCTGCCAAAAGCCCTAATGTAAATGCAGTTATACTAGCAAAAATGTTGTTGGGGAAGGTGGCATGTCCACTAGAAGGGTTTGCCGTTAGAGCTGTACTGGCAAAGCCTAGTATAGACAAGGTAAATCTCTAGGAATTTTTTCTTTATTCCTTTTTTTTAAAAACAAAAAAAACCCTTGTCTTAAATACAGAATTTGTACCAGGAAAACTTAAATTGGTTTGAAAATTGATTGGTTAAAGCAGGGCAAAAGACTAGTTTATACTGATTGAGCTTAAACCTCTTCTTGACTGTCTTCAGCTAAATCGATGTAAGAACAGGTTTTTATTAATTTGAGAATGTGCATACTTACAGTGTTTTGCATCTGTTAAGCTAAGCTGATTGGCCAAATGAAGCAAGGTACATTCCATGACATTTCTCTGTTTCTTTGTATATAGGAATGGCCATACTGGGTCAAATCAATGGTCCATCTAGCCCAGTATACTGTCTTCTGATAGTGACCAATACTAGGTGTTTCAGAGGGAATGAACAGAACAGGGCAATTACCAAATGATCCATTCGCTGTCATCCACTCCCAGCTTCTAGCATTCAGAGGCTTAGGGACATCTCGGGCATGGGTTGTATCCCTGACCATCTTGACTAATAGCCATTGATGGACCTATCCTCCATGAATTTATCTAATTCTGTTTTGAACGCAGTTATAGTTTTGGCCATCACAACATCCCCTGGCACTGAGTTCCACAGGTTGACTGTGCGTTATGTGAAGAAGTTCATTTTGTTTGTTTTAAACATGCTCCTTATGTGAGGGAGGAAATAACGCTTCCTTATTCACTTTCTTGGCATCATTCATAATTTTATAGACCTCTATTGTATCCCTTCCTTAGTTGTGTCTTCCAAACTGAAAAGTCCCAGTCTTTTTAATCTTGCCTCATAAAAGAGAGGAAGTGGAGTTTATTCCTCATAATTTCCCTGCACCCATGAGTAAGGACTGTGTGTCAGGGACCCTGGGTATTGAACCTTGGTACACAGGCTCTTAGGAGGTAGTAAGTTCCAGCCTGTCACAATATGTGATACTTTTAAATGCTATATTCAATCAATTCCAAAATTTCAAGGAATTTTTAAGTATCAATGGGCAGAATCCTTTGCTTTTTGATGAAAATCAGAAAATTGGAAGCGAGAAATGGAGGACACGTAAGTGCTCCTTGTGTCTGAATAGCAAAATTATCAATTTCAGTACAGTGGTTACAGTTCAAAGTTACAAACTGACTGGCCAACCACACACCTCATTTGGAACCAGAAGTATACAATCAGGCAGCAGCAGAGACAGAAAAAAAGGAAATGCGGTACAGTACTGTGTTAAACATAAATTATTTAAAAAAGGAAAGTTTGAAAAAAATTGGACAAGGTAAGGAAACTGTATCAGTGCTTGTTTCATTTAAATTAAGATGGTTAAAAGCAGCATTTTTTTTTGCATAGTAAAGTTTCAAATTTGTATTAAGTCATTAAAGTTCAGTTGTAAACTTTTGAAATAACAACCATGATGTTTGTTCAGAGTTACGAACATTTGAGTTGTGAACAACCTCCATTCCTGAAGTGTTAGTTACAATAGAACCTCAGAGATATGATCTGTAGATCAAAGAACTGGTTAATCAAAGCCGTGAACATCTTCCAGCATAATATGCCTCATCTCAGCTCTGCTCGTCCTCCTAATAGTTTAAAAGTGTTGACAACCTCAATGACTTATCTCTAGGACAGAAACAAAAGAAATAAGAATGGTGGGGAGCCATGGGGAAGGAAGGGCATGGCAAAGAGAATGAGGGACCCTTGCATGGAAGGAATGGGAGGCACATGGACCCCCTGGCATAGGGGGCCTGGTAAAGGGGATTGGGTGGAGAATGGAGTACTGTAGTATGAGCACAGAGGGCAAGGAGGGGCATACAGGGCCCCTGGCTTGGAGGGAGAATGGAGGACAGTAGTATGGTGGAGGGGGATATGGGAGTGGCATACAGAGCCCCTTGATGAGGGGTGGGTGAGCAGAGTTGGCAAGAGTCCCTGAAATAAAGGGAATGTGAGGATGGTCCGCAGGGAGCTTGGGGGGAGAAATGGTATGCAAAGTGCCCATTTCCCCCTTCTCCCCATGTTGGGGCTCTTTGTGCCCCCACCTCCATTTCCCCCTCTTCCCAGAAGTGTCTGAAGCTCCTAGATTTGCTAACCAGATGCATGGGCTCCATGTGTTATACATTTCTCTCTTTACCTTAATTGGCCAATTAAGGTGCAGAGAGAAATTCACAAAAATAAATTCTGAAATGTGCTTAGGTGTAGAAACTAATGTAATGTATGAACAGAACCACGGTAATGTATGAACAGAACCCATGGCTCAGTATTGAAGCACAGATCATTGAGACTGTTGGTATGTTTAAGGTTACACAGATCCTAATCTTGCAAACAGTCATATGCTTAACTCTGTGCAGTGGAACCACACACCTATAAATTTTAAAGCCATGTATAAGTATATGAAGAATTGAGGCCAAAGATAAACTGTATAACCTAAATATCAGCATATTAGAAAACTGTGACATTTGAACAAATGAGATCTTACTGATTTTTTGGGGGGGGGGGGAAAGTGGCTAGAACAGCAAAACTTTAATTATAGAATAAAATTATTTCTCTAGCTTTTAATTCACTAAGGCCTGGTCTACACTTACCCCCCAATTCGAACTAAGGTACGCAACTTCAGCTACGTGAATAACGTAGCTGAAGTCGAAGTACCTTAGTTCGAACTTACCTCGATCCACACGCGGCAGGCAGGCTCCCCCGTCGATGCCGCGGTACTCCTCTCGTATAGCTGGAGTACCGCAGTCGACAGCGATCACTTCCTGGTTCGACTTATTGCGTCCAGACAAGACGCGATAAGTCGAACCCAGAACTTCGATTCCCAGCCGCCGAACTAGCGGCTGGGAGTAGACATACCCTAACATTACATGCTTATTAAAAGGATAACAAAAAGCAACATTAGCAAATTTAAAAAAAAATCAGTTTATTTTTGTGTCATTTAGGGTTTTGTCTCTAGGGAGCTGGTATCCTAAAGTTATCTATATAATCGTATTTAAAACAGGATTATTCTTTTTTTAAACTTGCAGTGCATCACATGTGGTTGTGTCTCTTGTAGAAAACTATCCAAACTATTTGATTATCAATCTAGATAAGGTAAGTTTTTGTGTTTTTTCTCTCTCTAAAGAAATGTGAAATAATATGAAGCAGTTAATATACAATATGTTGAAAGTTTGCTTGATGTGGAAAGTTTTACATTAGACCTTGAATTTCTTAAAATTCAGAGTTGGCATGTTTTATGTGCTAATTTAGGGCCTGATCTAAAGCCCAGTTCTCAACGCCCACCTCAATTCTGCTAACATGTTCTTTGTTTCGCATACTGTACCTTAATTCTAATCAAACGAAGCATTTTTATTTGGAGTAGCCATGAGTTTCAAATCTGCTTCTCAGCCATGTCACGCTTTCTACAGTGGTTTTGAAACTTCTACCCCAGACAACTTATTTGGTTAGACCGTGGTTCTCAATCAGGCATTAGGTAGAAATTGATTTTATTTTATAATTATATGGTAAAAATGAGAAAGTAAGCAATTTTTCAGTAATAGTGTGCTGTGACACTTTTATTTTTATGTCTGATTTTGTAAGCAAATTGTTTTTAAGTGAGGTGTAAATCAGACTCCTGAAAGGGATACAGTATTCTGGAAAGTTGCAAGCCATTGGATTAGAGTAAAGATTGCTCAACTGCAGATCTCATTAAACACAATCACTGGAAACCTCCAGGTAAGGTAATCTTCAGAGCAAAACTTTCAAAGACTCTTCACCTTCACAACAAACTCTTCTGCACTTCCATAATATAACCAACCACAATAGCATGTGTCATAGCAAAGTCTGGCCCAATCCTGAAAATACTGGTACAGAAGCTTAACTTTACTCATGTGAGTAATATCACTGAAGCAAATGCTTAATCGTATGTGTATTTTTAGAATCAGGGTCTATAATGTTAACGAGTCTGGGAATTTTAAAAAGAGGATCACTTTCAAATGTTTCCTCTGCCAAAATTTAATATTTTACCCCAACTTTCATACATTCCTTCCACTCTCTTTATTAGAGAACATTCATATGAAAATGCCTCTGTTTTGGAAGACTTCAACTGTTTCTCATTTTTATTTGCCCATCTCACAATCATCTGTTTTGGCTACCAAATGATATCAGAGAATTATGTGGCCAACAAATAAGTGTGGACAGATGGATCAATTCTGAGGGACTAGGATTCTAAGCTTTTATTTAATTGATTATTGCTAGATTTTTCAATCGGCACATAATATACGTTTTAAACAGAGAAGTTGACCTCTCTGCAGATCTATTTTAAACAATAGTTTTAGCACCTTCTCCTCAAGCTTGTTAATTAGAGACTTGCTCAGTTAGTAAATAAGCAGGATCTAATATAGAATCGTTAAAGAAAACTCATCGTCATAGTAATATTCTGTGTTTTTTTCTTAAGCTGGACTATTGTGCAAGCTTGAAGAATCTTGAAACCATTTCTGAGAAGCAAAACTACAAGTTTATCCAGGTATGGCAGATTTTTTAGTAGCAAACTAGCAAGTTAAGCTTGTAAAATCTGAGGTTGGCCAGGCTTTTATATCTGGGCTTCTGCAGAACTGACACCTGATGTGGGAATCTCCATCTTTTTCTTCTCATGGAACTATAGCTTCTGCTTTTGGTTACACTGTATAACTTCAACTTCTGACCATGTGTGTATGGGTGTCAACATCGCATATTACTGCAAACTTCTGATACAGTGTCTATAATCTAAAAGTATATGCCACCAACGCATGGGGTAACCCCTCAAAAACTGAAATACATAATTAGAGACTAAAGGTTAGAATTTAATCAAACCTCTGCATCATAATGGAGTGATCTTTGTTTTACTCTCCTAACTTCTGGGCTAACTTTATGAATAACTGTACTTTGGAGTATCAAATACAGACCACTGCCCGAGTGGAATATTGAATTGTATGGGCCGCTAGTATGTTCTGTTACGTAAATTCCTGTGCTCTTGTTGATCTGCTGGTAATGTTACCTGTTCCATGACTCAAAACCTCAAATGTGCTTGGAAGATGTCACAGATGTGTGTTTAAACATAACCTGCCCATTTAGAACCCTTAAATGCCTGCAAATCCTGTGGCTTCCTCTTTCCCACCGTTCAGATACTCAGTTTAGTAACATAAGTGTAAACATGTGAAATGCTATGAGTTGAGTGGCGTGACAGCTAAGGATGCATGTGGCATTGCTGAAGAAATGGTATTTACAGCTTTATAAAGGTTACCAGTTTCAACACAATTTGATACCACTGCCCTAGTCAGACTGATACAATGCCTTCTTATAGGATGGCATGATACAGATTCCTGGGAATGAGTGCGAGTGTAGACAGCAGAATGACCTTGTATGTGCATTAGTTATGAGTATTGGAGCAGAAATTCAAGATGAGAACACAGACATGAATCCTGAGCTTCTGTGACTAGGGGCTTTTCTAAATGGGGGAGTTTCTTTGGTATGGTGTTTTTTGCTATAACTAGTTTGGTGTTAGTAGATCAGGTGGTTGGGCTGTTGTTAAGGAGGTCTATGCTGCTGTTGAGCGGGTGCTGCTGGCTGATCGTAGAACTTGGAAACGCATAGATGGTTATTGATGGTGGATTTGCACAGTGGCATTTCTGAATTTTATTGGGGCCATTGATGGGACCCAGGTGCCCAGTGTTTGTCCCCAAAACCAGACCTCAGAGTTCATTGGGAGAAAAATGTATTTCGCCAGGATGCTACAAGACCTGGTTGGTTGCCCTTCCATAGTGATCGGGGTCAATATGGGATAGTGTGGGAATCTGTGATGCCAGGAACTTTAGAAATTCAGCATTGTTTTATGCAAGGAAAAATGGGATACTTGCTCCCAAGACCACTATGAACATGAATGCTGGTGTGATTTCCCCTGTCATTCTGGGAGACTCATCTTACCTGGTTTATAAAGGCTTACTGGGCACTTGGATAGGAGAAAGGAGCTACTTCATTAACACTGTGAACAGCAAGAGAGGATGCCTCTGCAAAATGTTCCAACTGGTCAGGGAGCCAAAGTCGAGGACGTGAATGTGGCATGGCTACTGATGTAATAGATATGTAACTTCATGTATATGAGCTTGCCATGAGCTGGAATCACAAAGGGGCATACCTGGGAACATGCCAGTATTTAAACAGGATGGTGACATCCAGTCAAGGTGATCCTGGAGCAGTAGAGGGCATGCAGTAAACAGGCTGACCTAGATGTGAAACAGTGCAATGTGGGGTGGCAGTGGAAGGACTTCCAGAAGTGGTACGGTTAATCTGAAATAGGGAAGAGTCCATATAAACTATATTCCAGTGTAACTCACTCCAAAATAGTTGTGTATCTTCCAAAGAGGATTAATTAAAGTGGGATAAGATGCCAGATAAGGTTTAAAAAAAACAACAGCGTGTGTGTGGACCCAAGGCAATTTATACCTAACTTTCCTATATATAAAGACGCCCTACCATTAGGGTTATGCTGCTGTTTCTCTAGATAAAATTAGATTAGATGGTGTCCTCTCTTCTTTTAAAAACAATATACTGGTGTGGTAAAGAGCTTCTTTTCCCTGATGAATGAGGGGGATTGTTCTATTTAAATCTTACGTGCCTCAGCTTCCTCATTTGTAAAATGGGGATAATACTTCATTACACACCTCACAAGGGTTTTGCATGGATTAATTAGCTGATGTTTGTAAAGTACTTCTAAAACTGGGAAGCCTAATATAAGTGCAGAATGTTAATGTAACAGATAATTGGGCTGGTGATATATTTTAAGATTATGAGAGCATACTACGAAGTATATAGCTATACTAAGTACTATGTGCTATGCATTGCAAGGGCCAAAACCAAAAGCCTGCAGGTTCTAATATTTGTGTATAATTTTAAGAGTATTAGCATTGTTCAGCATTCCCCACTGAAAATTACTGGAATTTTGATGACTCTCTGAAGGGTGTATTTCTGTAGAGGTACAGTAAGAAACACATTATTTTAAATCCTTCATTGACTTTTTGCAAACACGCTGGTTTCTGTAGCAAAGGCTGAGTAATGCTGATGTTTAAAGAACATTTACTAGTGTGTTTTAGCATTGAGGTGGGGAAATGGGAAAATGTCAACCTAATGTTTCCCTAGTGTGTTTTTTGGTGTGTAGCATTTTGAGCAAAGGTAAACTAACACTTTTGCCTGTGTAGTTATACAAAATAGTTATATTATTGGAACTATTGCCAGCCAGTTGGTTGCCTTGCTTCCGAAAACTATGAGCTAGATCCTAGAATGATCTTCAGTTCATCTTCCATTTTTTAAAGCCACTAGGTGTCGCTGTTCATTCACAAATTATTCATAATATCTTTATGCTTTATGTATAGCAGGGATTGGCAACCTTTGGCACACTGCCCGCCAGGGTAAGCATCCTGGCAGGCCTGGCCGGTTTGTTTACCTGTCATGTCCACAGGTTTGGCCGATCGCGGCTCCCACTGGCCGCGGGTCACTGCTCCAGGCCAATGGGGGCTGCGGGAAGCTGCGCGGGCTGAGGGATGTGCTGGCCGCCGCTTGGAAAGCGTGAAGTACATTTCTATTTCCTCATTTTTAGAGGTAGCTGTAGTTTGTTCTCTATTAATGCATAACTACAGGAAAGCAGTTTTTGAATCACTTAAAAAAATTGGATATGTGATTCTTTTCTTTGTTTTTAGCAGTGCTTTTGCTTGCTCTTTGAAGACTTTACTTGCTTTTTCCTATGGGCAGTCTTAATTTTCTATTAACTGACTTTCTTATTCTTTCAAATAACAGAACTTTTCACCCTGTGGCTTAGCCTACAAATTCTGGCTTCATGAAGATTGTTTTAGGACAGAGTTTTTTCACTTGCTCTTTCTGTGGTAGTTCACATTCCAATTCATGAAAATGTATATTAACTGCAGAGTGTAAGTGCTGAAGTAAACTAATTAGATAATTTCAAAGATGTAATTTTTGTATTTTCTCTAATAAACTTACAGTGGCTCTTGCCATTGCTAATTCACTTAATATTTATTCTGTGTAATTTAAAAACTATTTTAATATTGACAGCAGCTAGTTCTAGAATTTAAGAATATCCTTCCTTTATCATCACCAACAGGGTCTGACAGGGAAGTTGTTGGTTTGAACCCCCTCACCCTCCACGAGATTGTGACTTTTTAATATGAACTTTATTCAATTAATGAATATAGGTTAAATTAACTGGTCCTTTTATGTTTAAAGTAACATTTCTGCTATTTCAAGAGTATGGCTAGTTTGACTGCAAGTATGAGGGTTACACAGAATTTTATTTCTTTAGCTGTAAAATGTGTTGAGGGAACTGAATGACTTTTGGACATGATTTGGGAATTTATTTTATGTAATAGTTTATTGTAAGTATCAACAGAGTACTTCCCCCACATTTACTCATTGAGGTAGTCCCACTTGTATGTAAGTGCTTAGCTCTTTTTGATTCTCGTGTACTATGTTTTTTAAAATAAACTATTCAATAAATATGGACTGACATGATAGTATACAAGTAATCAATAGGAATGCAGTCCTGCATAAAGTCATAGATAAAATGAACAAAACAGACTACATGCTGTTTATACACTTTAGATAAATCTTGGTACAGTTAAGAATCGAGACTCCATTATTAAAAACTGACTTGGATTGCTATCTTTGTTTTTAATCTAATTGTTTTTCTCTTTAGGGTGACATCTGTGAACCCCATTTTATAAAACTACTTTTTGAAACTGAGAAAATTGATATAGTACTACATTTTGCAGCACAAACCCACGTAGGTGAGCATTGTTGCATGTTGTTGTAATAAATCTACTAGGTGTTTTGTTTGAAACAACTAACCTATTCATGTTGTTGCTGTTTTTCATTCCTGTCGTTTTCGTATTAAACTAAAGGACCATAATTGTCTATTTATTATAGTGACACCAAGTAGCACTGTTAAGTCTCAGGGTCTGTCCGCAAGGCCGGATTAAGGCATAAACTAACTAAGCTACAGCTTAGGGCCTCACAATATGAGGGGCCTCTAAAAAAGACAAAACTGACTCCATTTCAAATTTTATCAAAATCGGTTGATAAATAAAGGAGATATGGGAAAAAGAAGATTCTCTCTAAATATAGACACTTTTGTTCAAATATGACAAAAATATACACATCTGGCTACACAAATACTCTTGTCCTATTACCTGTTCCCTTCACTAATTGTTCATTATTGACAGGTGGGAGGCCAGGCTGAGAAAAAAAAAAAACACGATAATTGCACTTGTAAAATTAGTCTTTATACGAGTAAGTCTGCTATCAGTCTCCTAAGGCAGTGTTTTATTGGCCAGCTGCTTCTAGTTTAGCGTCCCCCTTGGCTGGTAATAGCTGGAAGGCCGCCATCTTTTGTTTACGGTCCAGCACGCTCAATCATGTAGTGCCTTCATTCCTGTTTTTCTAAGTTTTCTTAAGAGTTAGTGTGTTCTTTCTTCTTTAGATCTGTACATACATACTGTTGTGTATGTTAGTGCGCACGCCGCTTTCTGCTTTATGCACTATCCATGCTTCACGTGATTGAATTTGCAGGTGATCATCTTATGGACTTGGGTCGAGTGGATCTTGAGGATAAATTTGTGTTGGCTTCCCTCTGTCAGTTTCAGGAACCTTCACAGTAAATATCAGAGTGCTGACAAAAGGATAAATAGAGGATTTTTGAGAGAAGTGAAGGAAGATATACATATATATCAAAATATTCTGAGTACTTGGTGAGCAAGTTATTTCACACTATATGCATATATGATTTATAGGGTTTAATAGCCTATGATATTCATTATATTTGCTTGAATATAGGCTAATTTTTCTCACTTTCTCAATGCCTGTCTAGAGATTACCAGTCTCTTTTCTGGTAAATTCTTTCTCTTTCATGCATGTAGCTTGTTGTCACTGTGTGTCCGAGGTGTTTACTCAAGATTAATTAATGGTCCTGGGGGAGACAGAGGATAGAGAAGCGAACACGAAGAGAGCTTTTCTTGTAGCATTTTCTAGGCAGACATCTATCTGCTCCAAGCTTTCTGTACATTGAAAGTGACAAACTCTGTAGCTTATCATTTGAGGACATCATCAATGACTTTGCGCTCCAAAAATCACAAAGGAAAACGTTTTAAATTTCAGTGTTAAAATTAATGTGATGTGCAAACAGACATACTGCAGAATCTCCTTTTCTAGATGTTTTTAAGGCCAGGCTTGACAAAGCCCTGGCTGGGATGATTTAGTTGGGGATTGGCCCTGCTTTGAGCAGGGGGTTGGACTAGATGACCTCCCGAGGTCCTTTCCAACCCTGATATTCTATGATTCTATGATACTACTAACATTCCAGACTGAGCAGTTTGACAGCTCCTATTTTCTTTAAAGCTACCAGCTAGAGAAAATATTCCTTTACTCTTTTTTCTCTTACCCCTCCCCCCCACCATTCTCCCTCTCCCCCCAGAAATTATACTGGTATTAGGTGCAAGGCACGGTTCATTTCTGGTCCAGGGATAGGTTTAAGGTTGAGTATCACAGGACCATCCTGACTAGAATGGGACAATTAGACAGGAAATTTCCTTCAGATTTGTTTCTTGCACTGTCAGTTCATGAGACTGGGCCTTAAAAAGTTACTTCAGTGCCCCCCTCTCCCTTACCCCACTACCCATGCACAATACCTTGAACATCTATAGTACTTGTATTAGTATAGCCTGGCTTTCTGGATTCTGAACTCCTTTTCACAAACCAAGACATTTGGATTGTATTTCACTATCTACAAATAGCAGGTTTAGTGTAAGTCATTTGTGAGACTTTGGACTGGGTGATGCCCTTTTTGCTCTCAGGTCAGATGTGAAAAGTGTTGGTTCAGGACTCCTACATGAAATCCCAATTTTTGATAGCTTCTTTCTTGGGGAAGCAACTTGAAGAATATTCCTTTCTCATTTCCTCCTCTACTGTAGGGAACCACCATTCTGGGATCCTGCACCCCAAAATGGGACCATTTATCTATTCTACATTATTGTATGAAAGTGGAAATGATGGAGCATTGCAATTATAAAAAATTCTAATATTATAATGTCAGTTTTGAAGTAGTCTTTAACACTGTAGATCATATGGGTGTCTCGGGGTGTGTGTGTGTGTGTATATATATAGAGAGAGAGAGAGAGAGGGCACACACACGTAGGGCTTTTAAGAGATTTCCAACTTATATTTACCAGACTACCAAATATGAATACCACATAAGGCAAATTGAAAAGAGAATGCAGTTAAGGTTGAGCATTCAACCGAACTCTTTTTTGTTTTGTTTTGTTGTGTTTCATCCTTAAATTCTGAATTTTTCTATCTTAATGCTGGGTTTTTTTTAGGGGTGTGTACACATTGCATTAATAACAAATTTTCCTGAAGAACTCTCCAGAAAATACAGTTACATACTTTGCAATGTTGGGAAGTAAAACTCACATACATTAAGGCTTTAATTCCTTTCAGTTAGTTTTAGTGTCTTATCTAATGAGAATTGTTAAAACTAATGTTTTAGTAATAACAAATTAATGATTGGATATTGTATTGCAACCTATACTTAAACCACACTTGAGTTAGGCCTTTTGTTACATATAGTGTAAAGGCAAATATAGCTACTCCGCAACATTTTATTCCTGGTTGTAGTTCACCCTGGAATTGGTCATGGTTCGTTACCAGGTACAAACGTTTGTCTTGGAGCAAATATTGGGAATGTCTATATTTGTCTTTATAATCATGTTAATTGGCAATCAACACCACCGAAAACTCTCATCTCTACAGTGCCTTATGATATGGTTTCCTGTTAATCTTTTCATGCCAAGTCATCTTTTTAAAGTCTTCAATGCCTGAAATGAAAACTTATTTTCATTCTCTACCCTAGTGAAATTAAATTTTAAGACAAACTCATTCTGTTATAGATCTTTCATTTTGGCGTACCCTGGAATTCACCTATGTGAATGTTTATGGCACTCATGTCCTGGTCACTGCTGCATATGAAGCCAGTGTGGAGAAGTTCATTTATGTCAGCACAGATGAAGTATATGGAGGTAGCATTGATGAGGTGAGCTTGAAAACACAGCTGTATTTTTTTGTACCTCTGTTTGTCTTATGCATATTTTTAAAGATTTTAAACAGAACAAAATAAGATTTTAATAACTTCCCATGACTTCTGTGAATGAACTATCATATACTGTATGTGCTGTTCCTGAAGATAATGAAACTTATAAACAAATACTGATTGTTACTAAAACATAGTTTAGTAACAGTCTCTTATTCATCATCTTTTATCATTTGTGTATTACATGTAATACAGAATGCCGAGAACAATGGGTATACAGTTAAAAAAAAAAAAAATGCATTTGAAGAAATAAAATTTAAGTGGTATGGAAAGAATGTCCTGTCACAAATTCTGCCGAGGGTGCTTTTGAGCCTATCTTTATTTAAAGAACATTTTGTTCTTTCTGCCATTCTTTGTGTGTTGTCTACTTAGATTGTAAGCTTTATGTGACAGGGAACTTGTTTTGCTATATATTTAAGGGTTTGTGTACATGGTAAGTTACTGTGTGGCAAGCCTGGGTGTGAATCTGCATGGTTTGGCGAGCTACGCTTTCAAGTCGTCATATGTCAAGCTGCACTCCTGGACATTTGCTGAGCTGTAGCAGTGACGACAGAGGATGTTACGGTGGAGCAAGCTAGTGCGCTGTAGATTCACACCCTGGGTTGCAGCACAATAACTTGCCATGTAGAAAAGCCCTGAAATACCTAACACACTTTTGGGCATTTTGTAAATAAGGAAAGACATAGCCTTGTTTGACAGTTTGTGGCAGTGATTCCTTCATCAGTGCAAAAAGTAATGGCGATAACTATTTCTCAGTATTGAGGGGATAACCTTACTGATTACTACCCATTCACAACTTCTTTTTTAATCAGCAGGGAGGATTGTACAACTTATGCCCACTTTGATTAAAAGAAAGAGAAAAGGAATAGTATTTCTCATAGATGAACATAATTCATTGAGGGAGGGTCAACATGGTTTTTGTAAAGGGAAATTATGCCTCACCAGTCTACTAGAACTCTTGGAGGGGGTCAACAAGCATGTGGACAAGGGGAATCCAGTGGATATAGTGTACTTAGATTTTCAAAAAGCCTTTAACAAGGTCCCTCACCAAAGGCTCTTAAACAAAGTAAGCAGTCATGGGATAAGAGGGAAGGTCCTCTCATAAATGATCTGGAAAAAGGGATAAACAGTGAGGTAGCAAAATTTGCAGATGATACAAAACTATTCAAGATAGTTAAGTCCCATGCAGACTGCAAAGAGCTACAAAAGGATCTCACAACACTGGGTCACTGGACAACAAAATGGCAGATGAAATTCAGTGTTGATAAACACAAAGTAATGCACATTGGAAAACATCCCAACTATACATATAAAATGAGGGGGTCTAAATTAGCTGAAGAAAGAGATCTTGGAGTCATTGTGGATAGTTCTCTGAAAATATCCACTCAATGTGCAGTGGCAGTCAAAAAAGCGAACAGAATGTTGGGAATCATTAAGAAAGGGATAAATAATAAGACAGAAAATATCATATTGCCTCTATATAAATCCATGGTACGCCCAAATCTTGAATACTGTGTGCAGATGTGGTTGCCCCATCTCAAAAAAGATGTATTGGAATGGGAAAAGGTACAGAAAAGGACAACAAAAATGATTAGGGGTATGAAATGGCATCCGTATGAGGCGAGATTAATAAGACCGGGACTTTTCAGCTTGGAAAAGAGATGACTAAGTGGGGATATGATTGAGGTATAGACAGTCATGAGTGGTGTGGCGAAAGTAAATAAGGAAGTGTTATTTACTCCTCATAACACAAGAACTAGGGGTCACCAAATGAAATTAATAGGCAGCAGGTTTAAAACAAGAGGAAGTATTTTTTTCCACACAACGCACAGTCAGTCTGTGGAACTCTTTGCCAGAGGATGTTGTGAAGGCCAAGACTATAACAGGATTCAAAAAAGAACTAGATAAGTTCGTGAACGATAGGTCCATCAATGGCTATTAGCCAGGATGGGCGGGGATGGTGTCCCTACCCTCTGTTTGCCAGAAGCTGGGAATGGGCAACAGAGGATGAATCACTTGATGATTACCTGTTCTGTTCATTCCCTCTGGGGCACCTGGCATTGGTCAATGTCGGAAGACAGGATACTGGGCTAGATGGACCTTTGGTCTGACCCAGTATGGCCGCTCTTATGTTCTTCCACTAAGGAATTTTAATATGGCCTACTTTGCATCTATATCCATTTAACTAAGAGGTTCTCATCTCAGATCTACCACTTTGTTAGGTTACGCATCATAGCAAATTAGTGATAAGAAAGTCTTGATCTGTATCAGTTGCTGAAATTGTGGCTGACACCACTGGGATGGCAGGGGTATGTTGCTCTAAAGAACTCATCCAGTCCAGGGTATAGCTATGTGTGGGTCTGGAGATTACCTTTAAGAAAGTAGAGAGATTGGGTAGGAGGTTTTGTGCCATTGATCATGTGGATTTTAAAGTTTCCCCAAGATAAGTGGTGTGAACTTCATCACCATGTCAGACAGAACCTCAGTCAGTTCCAGGCTATGTTTACACTGCACACTTTATAGGGGCACAGCTGTGCCACTACAGCAGTGCCGCTATAAGTTATGCAGCGTAGCCCCTCTTTGTTGGCAGGAGAGAGCTCTCCTGCCGACAGAATAAAACCACCCCCAACTAGGGGCTTTGTAGCTGGAGAGAGTCTTCTGCCAGCAAAGTGTTGTCCAGACCAACACTTTTTGTCGGTAAAACTTTTGTCCATCTGGGGTGTTTTTATTTTTTTTTTTCCATATAGACATTTATACTCTGCCTAAATTTCTCCTTTGTTTTCAGCTGAATAATGTATTCTTCACTTCCAGTACTGTCAAACGACTTCTGTATTTTACCCCAGTTGTGGTAGAAATGTTCTGACAGCAGCTTCAGTATGAAGCTTTAAAAACATTCTAGGATTCTTTAGGATGAAAGCTGTTATATAATGCAAGTTATCATTCTTTTTATTTCAGGCATTTGATGAAGCTTCACCCAAACGACCAACAAATCCTTATGCCTCTTCTAAAGCAGCTGCAGAATGCTTTGTTCAGTCTTACTGGGAGAGGTATCAGGTAAGCTTATTCAGGTTTCAGAAACTATAAGGTTTATTGCAATAGCATCCCTTCCATATGTGTCAAAGTAAAATGTACCACAATGTGTAAACACAGTGTGTAGGAATATAAACCCACATTAGATCCGAGTGAATTATAGTTTTAAATTGAGTTTGGACTTTGACATAAGTAATAGGCGTGAAGCAAGTGACCAAAAATAATGAGATTATGAGAAAAAGGGATTGTTTCTGTTAAATTTATAGCAACCCTGGAAATATTTAAATTTTGGGCTGAATATTAGAAATAAGGAAAACATGATAGATTGGATGCTAGACGCAGTAAGTGATTAATTATGTAACTTTGTTTAGAAAGACGTGGAGTTCAGTAGCTAGGGGAAAATACAGCAAAATAAGATAAGAAAACCAAGAAGAGAGCAAAGTGCAGCCCTAAATTGCTACAGGTAACTTTCACTAAGGTCCAATAACCAGTAATGACATTACATGTTTGTTATAGTATATAAAAAGCAATGTTTTTTTAGGAGTTCTTAGTACAGAAAAGCACTGACCCTTTTGGAATCATGCCATGATAGAAAGGTACCTTCTGGGCCTGAACCTGTTACGTTTTGGCTATTGCTTATAACTGTATTATTGCTAGGGGTATAGAATATAAGGAAGTATGTGGTTACATTGATATTGTACTCCTGGGGGAATTCCACACCAAAAAATTAAAAGTTCCATGCATAATATTTTAAAATTCTGCATATTTTATTTGTCAAAAGAACACAATATAATCATACCAGTTTCAATTATTTTTGGTCATTTATTTCAAAATGCCTGTCAGCAAGTATGTCTGTAACAATACAGACAAAAAAGATTCAGGAAATGTTTTTTGACAAATAGATTTCTTGTTAGGCATATTAATACAGAACCGTATTTCCTGCATCCCTCAGAAGCAGTGCAAAGGCTTGGGGGAGTCAGGGGTAACGGAGGAGATGAGGGAGACGGAAGTAAATTGCTGGGAAGGAGCCTGGGTGTGAACTTGGAGAGTTGTTGGGTATAGGTAGGAAAAATATGGAACAGGTTTTTTTGTGGGGTGGAGAGAGATTCATAGAATCATAGAATATTAGAGTTGGAAGAGATGTCAGGAGGTCATCTGGTCCAAAGCAGGACCAACACCAACTAAATCATCCCAGCCAGGGCTTTGTTAAGCCGGGTCTTAAAAACCTCTAAGGATGGAGTTTCCACAGCTCCTGAGGTAACCCATTCCAGTGCTTCACCACCCTCCTAATGAAATAGTGTTTCCTAATATCCGACCTAGACCTCCCCCACTGCAACTTGAGACCATTGCTTCTTGTTCTGTCATCTGCCACCACTGAGAACAGGCTAGCTCCATCCTCTTTGGAACCCCCCTTCAGGTAGTTGAAGGCTGCTCAGAAATCCCCCGTCACTCTTTTCTTCTGTAGACTAAATAACCCCAGTTCCCTCAGCCTCTCCTCGTAAGTCATGTGCTGTAGCCCCCTAATCATTTTCGTTGCCCTCCGCTGGATTCTCTCCAATTTGTCCACATCCCTTCTGTAGTGGGGGGACCAAAACTGGACACAATACTCCAGGTGTGGCCTCACCAGTGTCGAATAGAGGGGAATAATCACTTCCCTTGATCTGCTGGCAGTGCTCCTACTAATACAGCCCAATATGCTGTTAGCCTTCTTGGCAACAAAGGCACACCGATGACTCATATCCAGCTTCTCGTCCACTGTAATCCTGAGGTTCTTTTCTGCAGAACTGCTGCTTAGCCAGTCGGTCCCCAGCCTGTAGCGGTGCATGGGATTCTTCCTTCCTAAGTGCAGGACTCTGCACTTGTCCTTGTTGAACCTCATCAGATTTCTTTTGGCCCAATCCTCCAATTTGTCTGGGTCACTCTGGATGCTATCCTATTCTCCAGTGTATCTACCTCTCCCCCCAGCTTAGTGTCATCTGCGAATTTGCTGAGGGTGCAATTCATCCCATCATCCAGATCATTAATAAAGACGTTGAACAAAACCGACCCCTGGAGCACTCCACTTGATACCGGCTGCCAACTAGACATCAAGCTGTTGATCACTACCCGCTGAGCCCGACAATCTAGCCAGCTTTCTGCCTACCTTATAGACAGGATTGTTAGGGAGCTTCCCCCATGCAGACCCGGTCTGACCCCTAGCATCTCCCATTCAGTCAGGCACATATGCCCCTGTCCCCCATGTGTTCCTGCACCCCCATGTGTCCTTGCATCCCCTATGCATGTGTCCTTCCACCCCCACTCAGACACCCACTCTCCCCATCCCCATGTGGTCCTGCACCCCCTTCCCCTGTCCATATGTGGCTCTGTACCCCATCCCCATGTGTTTTTGTGCCCCCACTCAGCCACTCCCCTGTCCCTATATGTCTGTGCCTCACCCAGCCACTCCCATGTCCCTGTACCCCCTCCCCATGTGTCTCTGTGCCCCCACTCAGCCATTACCCCTGTCCCTATGTTTCCCTGTTCAGCCCCCGCCCCAGTCTGTCCTTCCCCACTAGCTCTCATGAGCTCCTGTTTGACCTCCCCACCCCTTGCCAGCACCCCACGCTGTCTGTTTCTCCAAAGCTCCCCTCTCCTGACCTGGTCTGACGTGCACTGTGAAGAAGGCAGGCTCTTTCTCTTCCTCAGCTGGCTGGGAGCTGCTGCTGTTCTTGCATCACAGCGCCTTCCAGTGGGCAAAAGGCAGAACTGCAGCAACATTTAGGCAGAAGCTTTTTTCTGCTCAAAAATTAAAAATATACACGGCTCATTAATTATGCACGAATGTAGTAGCTCAGAATCCTCCCACGAGTAATATTTTGAATGTAATCAACAGCAAGTGGCCTTTGGACTAATAAAAGAATGCTTATGTGGAAACTGAGTCATGGTAAACCTTAATAAACTGTTTAGGGAAATTATTTCTGACACAGTACCATCTGATTCACAGTTCTGTTTAAATTGGATCAAAAGGACACTTGCCTATCCTGTTATTAAAGGCATTCAAAACAAACAGATATTTTTTCATCGTAATTGTAAACTTCTGAATTTTCATCTTTCTTCTTCCAGTCTATCGAAACTAACTAAATTCCCTAGTTTCTAAATTACAGCTAAACGTAAAAGAAATCATATATTCCAAAGTAGGGGTGTGCGAAGTTAAGGTAACCAAATTGTATTGTCTGCTTCCATGCGGAAAGCAACCTTCCATCTTTCCTTATTTATTTTTATTTGAAGCTTTAAATTGCTATGCAGATCCTTGTTTGTTTAAACATTTCAGTTGTAAACTGTCTTTCTTCATTCTTCATCTTATTTTTTTCAGGCCTTTGAAGGCTCTTCGTAAGTTTGTTGTCTTTGGGATGGGGAAAACTCAGGGATAGATGTCTGTTAGTGACAGTGAAACATTTCTTTTGAATAAGAAATGTCACACAAAGGCTCTTTATATTGTCTACCGTATACATGTTTGTAGTGTCCTCTAGACAGGAATGCAAATGAGAATGGGGAACAGGAACTTCTGTTGCTGACTGCATGTCTCCATCTCTAAACTGGAGGTATTTGTCTACTGACAGGTGTGTCTTGTGGCTTCATTTATTCATAAAGTTCTTCCAGATATTTGGATAGGCACTACAAAATTGCGAATTGCTACTATTAATTGTTCGGTGAAGAAGTGAAGGCAGTTTGGGCCTACAGTCCTTGACAGATAATACTCACATGTTTAATATTTTAAAGTTTCCAGTTGTTATCACACGAAGCAGCAATGTTTATGGACCACATCAGTATCCAGAAAAAGTAAGTAATATTTTTTTTCTATCTTAACTCTCTAATTCATTGTAAAAAGGTTGTTTAGATGTTTTACTGCTGTTTTTGTTTGTTTGTTTTGGGGTGTGTGTGTGTGTGTGTGTGTGTGTGTGTGTGTGTACTTACAATGTTTTCCAAAGAAAATAATTTGTATCACAGGCAAAGTAGGTCAAGCTCAATTAGCACCACCTGTCTTAGTCTGATATTAATAACCTACCAATCTAACTACCCCTAGCTGACTCATGTTGGTGGATGCAAAGGAAGCAGGAACTACATTTCTCCAATAAAGCATTTGTTAAAGTGTCTCAAATATCTATTCGAGCATTGTCAGAATTTTTTACAGTGCTTCTAGATTTTCAGAGGATATCAGGGTGCCACAGGGATTGGTGTTAATTCTGGTCTTAATTAATAATTCCATTGATGATATGAAAGTGAGATAAACAGTAAGTTTTTAAAAAATCCCTCAGATATGAAAGAAGGTGGAGTTGAATCAGTAAAGATAAAAAGAAACCTAAAAAAGTCAGAAATCTGGTCAGAAATAAAATGAAATTAAAGTGGATTGCATTTGTCTAGGCTTATCTTGTGGAGAGGAATAATTCAAAACAGATATTAAATAGGAGGGAGTTGTGTTTTGTATTGCTACTATCCAAACATGGGGTGATAGTGGATAAATGACAAAGTTACTGCACATTTTGATAAAGAAATGCCGCATTTTGCAAAGGCATATTTGTGCTATTTTTGTGAGGTTGTGCATCTCTGCACTGCTTTTAGTTCTGACCATTTTGGAAAAATGTAGACAAATTGGTGGTAACTCATAGAAGAATAAAGAAAAAATATTTAGGGACTTAATGGACTGACTAATGAAGAATCAAAATGAACTAAAATGTATAGCCTTTTATAGTTAGAAAAAAATAACTGTAGCAAGCAATATGTTTTTGATGAATCCTTGGCCACAGCTGGATACCACGATTGCCAACGTAAGTACTCGCAGGTAGCCTGGGACTCTTGCTCAAAAATTAGTACCTCAAGATCTTTCTATCTTTGTGGCACATTTGTGCTCTTTAGCTGGCAACTGTAGTAACTATTGTTTGTAGCTATGGATTTGTTACAGGTAGGTACCAGACCACTGGATTTTAACTCATGCTCACAGACGTTTGAGTAATTTTTTGCCTACATGGGGATGTTTGGGTGTGACTTGTCTTTGCAAGGTAGGATCATACTTGCTCAAGTGTATAGCCCCATTTGCCTTGATCCTGCAAATGCTTTCACGTGTGCTTAACTTTATGCACTTGAGCAGCCCCATTGATCTCTGTGGGACTCCTCATATGCATAAAGTTAAGCATATGTTGTGTTTGTAGGATCAGGGCCTCCCTGGCTCCCTAAAGAGGGTAAGATTTAAAACTACTAATCCTGTGATCTCCAGTGATTTTTAGAGCAGAAGATCATGGATTCTATTTCCCCATTCTGCTTATCTACTATTACGCTGGTTTGTTTCACAGAATCATAGTGATCATATTTCCTGTCCTGAGTAAAATCCTTTGAACAGACTTCTGAGATGTGTATATAAATGTTCACTTTGAACAACAAAATAAATATGCATGTAACTTCCATGCCCAAGGAGCTTTTAGCTTGGTTGTTAGGATGAATGTTGAAAGGCATGCATTCTCACAAATGCTCTTTTAAAAAAAACCCTAAACTTTTTTCTATTAAGCAGCTTTTAAAATTCAAATGAATATATTATGTCAGTTCTTCCATCTAACTTTCAATTGTGTTTTGCTTTGTTTTTAAATAGATGTTCTTTATGGGTGAAATCCTGGGCCCATTTACTTCAGTGAGGCCACGATTTCACCTTGTAAGTCCTTGTAGAGCTTCAGCTTTTTCTAAAATGAACCGACTTTATTTATTTATTGCTGTTTAGGTTATTCCAAAGTTTATATCTTTGTTGCATCAGAACAGGAAATGGTATGTAACTTGAGTCCTTCTACAATGTTTTTTTTTTTTTGGTTTGTGGCAGGGAGTATGTCGTGGAAAAGCAGTATTCTTCATAAATTAATGTTTTTAAAATTAGTCCCATTAGTAATCTGAGTATGTCCATAACTTACTTGCATTTTAGTTACATTGCAATCAGGAACCAAAAAGGCTATTTTAAAATTAACTCAAACGGAATCTTCTTTCAACCAAAAAGCATCTTTGTCTGATTTTTAATAGTTGTATCCACTTAAAAATACACATCTAAATGTTGATAGAATAACTGGATACTTCTGTTTTTAAAGTTACACAACACAGTATCTTTCTTTTTCCTGTTTAGCTGCATTCATGGTTCTGGGCTTCAAAGAAGGAATTTTCTTTACGCCACTGATGTAGTAGAAGCATTCCTTACTGTTCTAAAGAAGGGGAAGCCAGGTGAAATTTATAACATTGGAACCAATTTTGAAATGTCCATTGTACAGCTTGCTAAAGAATTAATCCACCTAGTAAGTAAACAATGTAGACAGTTCAGAGTATTTGTGGTTTCTTTTCTTCTTAATAATGGTACATCTGCAATTGAACTTCAGAGGATTTGAATTACTTTGGGCTTATGTGAGTTTAATGTTCAAAGGGTGGGAAAGATGAGGTTTGACAATCCCCTAGGGAGACAGAAGTGCCATAGATCCACAGAACTGGCAGCACAGGTATAGTGCACAAAACAGCCATGCAAGCTACCCCACGCTACAGTATTTTTTCAGTCGTCCTGGGATCCTGACCTGGAAGAAATGATCTGTAACTCTGAACGTAGCTCAGTCTCCATACTAATGCAATCAGACCTGGGTTCAGTTCCCTGCTCTGCCATAAACTTCCTGTGTGACCTTGGGCATGTCATTCAGCCTCCAAGTGCTTCAGTTCCTCATCTGTAAAATGGGAAGGTGTGAGGATAAATACATTTAAAGACTTCGAAGTATTTTGAGATCTACTGATGAAAAGTTCTATATAGGAAATAGGTGGTATTATTATTATTATTGTTTCTCACTGATGCAAGTGCTTTTTTTAAAAAGGGGGCAGCATTGAGAGCTCTCCACCTGCTTTTCACACAGGCTAATGACCAGTCATCAATTGACAACTACTTCTTGATACTCTCTATTTCATTTTGGCCAGGGAGTGTGGAATTGCCAAAAGTAAAAACTTGCTAAAATTTAGAATTATACAAAAATCCAGTTATTAATCATAGAATCATAGACTGTCAAGGTTGGAAGGGACCTCAGGAGGTCATCTAGACCAACCCCCTGCTCAAAGTAGGACCAATCCCCAAGTATTGGAAGGTATCTGGAGAAGAGTGGCCATTGGAATCACTATAAATGGTCAAAACTAATTACCTTGCAATAATTTTACCAGCCACAGCTCATAAAATTTAAACCAAAAAACATACAGAAATGTTAGCCCAGTGTTAAATTCGAACCTTAATATTGATTTAATTCTATGCATTGTAACCTGGTTTGTAATATAGAAAATAATTTATTCTTTTCTGGTTGACAGATAAAAAAGACCAATTCAGAATCTGAAATGGAACATTGGGTGGATTATGTCAAAGACAGGTGAGGAATTGGTTAACTGTCTATTGGGGGATTTTTATCTTAAAGATTTGTTCTATCTTTTTTTTGTTTTGTACTTTCTTTGTACCACTAAAAAAAAAAAAAAGTTCTGATTATGCCCTTTTGTGACAATAGTCTGTTCCTGCATAGATCAGTGATGTCAGGCTCACCATGAAGGGCATATTCCATTTTTAGTCATAGGCCAGGCTGTGTGTGTACAGTGGTACTTCCTCCCCTTAATCCACAGAGGAATGCCTACTGTCAGTAGGAGATTTGCACAAAGATAAAGTGTAGAAATATAGCCTTTATGTAGTAACTAAACTGTCTTAATTTGTTTGTTCAGTACTTGTTACATTCACCATCATGCAGGGTGGAAGAACTCTGACCTTTACAACCAGTCTTATTTCTGTCATTTGTTTAACTTTCTGTTTTTGTGTGTTGTCTCTGTTCTCCATTTGCATTTCCTTCTCTGAAGCAACTTCCAATTTCCCACCTTCCTGTAGGCTTCATTTGCACCCCCATTCTCTACTCTGAAATGATCAGTAATGGAATAGTTAATATCACCATTACGTGGCATCAACAGGCTTTAGAATTGACACTCCAGTGAGATTAGTACGGAGCAGGAGGGGTCACACCTCTGAGCTATTGTTTCAGGTGATCTGCAGGCTTAGAAAGACTATCAGGTTAAGATTCTCTCATGGATATTTTTAATAAAAGTCAGGGACAGGTCGTGGGCTTCTGTGAATTTTTGTTTATTGCCCATGTCTTTTCCCTGACTTTTAGTTAAAATACCCTCGGGGGGTGGGGAGGATGACACATTGTCAGAGCGCTGCTGGGGCTTGCAGCTGCTCCAGCCCTGGTGACCACTGCTGCTCCAGCTCCAGGGGACCAGCAGCTGCTTTGACGGGCCAGGGGCCAGCCCCTGGTTTGGTCCTGCCCCAGAAGTCAGAGAGGTCCCGGAAAGTCATGGAATCTATGACCGCCATGATAGAATCTTATCCTTAACTGTCAGTTATTCTGTTCATATTTGGAAGGTTATCTTGGCAGCCAGGAGAACTTTATATTTATTAACTTAAAAAGATTAAAGTTTAGATTCTGACAGTCTGAATGTAATTACATGGGCTGCATAAATACGTCAGATGGGCCAAATGCAGCCCTTTGGCTGTATTTTAGACTGATGGATTTGTCCAAGGCCAGAGGGGACCATTATGATCATCTAGTGTGACCTGTATAACACAAGCCATAGAACTTCCCCAGAATAATTCCTAGAGCATAAAATACACAAGCTTTTATTGTACTCTTGATAAGATTGAGAGACTTATGAACTTTAGAGATGGGAACAGATGAGCCCTGAAGTGTTGAAGAAAAATAGGACATTGTCCTATGAAAACTAAGGTTTCAGAGTAGCAGCCGTGTTAGTCTGTATCCGCAAAAAGAACAGGAGTGCTTGTGGCACCTTAGCGACTAACAAATTTATTAGTTTTATAGAAAACTTAGTTTTCTATAAAATATGAACCCTGCCTCACTTGCTGTGAACAAACATAAAGAAGGGAAATTGGAAAGACTAACTGCAGGCTGCGGCTTGGAAAAGATTTATGGTGACAATAGTATAACATCTTAAAATGTAGCACAAGACACTTTATATTCTATTTTATTTAAATAACAGTTGTACAATATTTGGTTGAGGAGACTAACAGACACAAAAGTCTTGTCTATGTGACATTAATCACTACAGTTACTGGGACAATGTTGAAAATAGTTTATCCATATTTCCACTGGCACCTAAACAGTTCAGCAGCATCTACATCTTTTGTCAGCTCCTGGAATGTAGATAAGGCTTACTGCAGTGGTCCCCAACCTTTTTCGTCTGGACAAGCCACCACGGACCGTGGCCGGCGGACAAGCACCCGTCGAAATGCCGCCAAGAAGCAGCAACGTCAATAGACGTCGCCGCCGACAAGCAGTGTCATCCAGAGGCGTTGCCACCGAAATGCCGCCGAAAATCGCCGGCGATGCCTCTGGATGACGCTGCTTGTCGGCGGCATTTCGGCGGATGCTCATCTGCCGGCCAGTACGCAGGCGCACATAGATGCCCTGGCAGGTGCCGTGTTGGGGACCACTGACTTACTGCCTAGGTGCCTGAGCTCCTAGATGTTGTGATGTAGCAGCTTTTCTCCTCAAGTAAGCAGCACTTTAGATAAAAGGTGAAATACATAAGTAGGATTCTCCTCACTCACTTTCCATCAGTGGATATTGGTACATTTAGGTTCCATGTATTGAGCAGCACTGAGCTCTCACTAACGGTGACATTGCTGTTGTAGATTTCTAGAGTATTGCCATATCTTCAGAGTGTCAAACAAGGTGAATATTTGAAGCTTCCTAACAGTGTATTATTAGTATTTATTACTAATAATGTTTAGTATGGTTGTACCAAAGAGCCAACTCAGAACGGACCCCCATGGCGCTACCCATTGTACAAAGAATAGTATATGGTCCCAGTCCCAAAGAGCTTAAAATCTAAATAGATAAAACAGACACAGGGTGCTAGAACGGTATAACACTTAAGTAGAATGAACTGTGTGATGACAGCAGACAATGACGAAATTCACCCTGGTGTACTTAAGGAACTAGCTGAAGCAATCTCTGAATCATTAACTGTTGTCTTCAAGAATTCATGGAGGATGAATGACATCCCAGATGACTATAAAAAGGTAAACGTAGTACCTCTCTTCAAAAAGAGGAAAAAACAGGACCTGGGAAATTATAGACCACTCAGCCTGATACCTGTAGAGATACTGAAATAAATTATTAAATAATCAATTTGCTCAAACCTACAGAAAAATAAGGTGATAATTAATAGCTAACATGGATTTCTCAAGAACAAATTGTGTCAAATCTAATTGATTTCTTTGACAAGGTAACTGGTCTAGTGGTTGGAGGGGAAGCAATAGACATGATATATCTGGACTTTTTACATAATCCTACATGATATTCTTGTAAGCAAACTGGGGAAATATGGTTTAGATGAAATTACTCTAAGGTGGGTGCATAACTTGTTGAAAAACTACTCAAGAATATTTATCAGTGGTTTGCTGTCAAACTCGGAAGACATATCAAGTGGGGTCTTGCAGGAAGCGGGGTGAAGGGAGAAAGAAAAGGTAGGGGAGAAAAGGGTAAGAGGGACAGATGTGGAGTGAAACTGAGGTGAAAAGACTTTGGGGGAGAGGAGGGGAGGAGAAGATCACACAGAAAACCAGCACAGGGCAGAGAAAGTCCAATTAAAACTGTACAAGGTTCTCTGAATGTCCAAAGGACCAAAGGTCTCAGCTTTGGCTGCTTCTGCCACTATCAGCTGGAGGCTCTGGTAGCTTCTCTCTGAAATTTTCTGCAAAGGCCACATGGATTGGTGGGAAGCACCATCTGGATTCTAAAGCCCTCCAGAGTGGGTGGATGGGTGGAGTGGAGGTAATATAAACACATTAGCACAGTAGGGTTTAAGTTACCGTGAGGGCCGAACTCATTTTTCTCCCTGGGTATCTGCACATGATGAGTTTTGTGCATGATCACATGCATGGTAGAAATGTTTTGAAAATGTGACAAAGCAGATCTGTTTGAGTGGGAAAATCATTTTTAATTAAAAAATGCCTAATATGAGTGCTTGAGGGCACTGTAGAGCAAAGTGCTGTATGCTAAATTGTTTTCAAAAATATTGTACATGCTTTAACTGTATTTTTCTTTAAACTTGTATTTTTGTACTTGTTTTTTAAGACCTACCAATGACCTAAGATATCCAATGAATTCTGAAAAAATGCACAATTTAGGATGGAGACCTAAAGTTCCTTGGAAGGAAGGAATAAAGAAAACAAGTATGCTACATTTAATATCTGTAACTCACTTGAGGGTGGTGATTTGGGAGTAAAGAAATAGAGACTATTTTGGTTTTGAAATTTAGTGTTATCTTACGAGTAGCTAAAGTTAGAATGCTGCTGAGCTTACTCTTTCAAACTAGCCAGTAGAACAGATTCCTCTTTAAGTAGCTTATGTGCCTATTAGTATTTTTTTAGAAGAAACCCATTAAGACACCTTACCATTATTAATATAATTTAAAAGCAGGGCCAAAAATAAAGTAGACATTTTGATATGATACAATAGTATCTTGGTTAAGGACTTCACTGAAAATTCCAAATATTATTAGCTATTTATGTCACAGAATGCAATTTATGTATAACTGTACTACTGCTGTGTTAGCTTCCTTGTGGTATCTGGAAAAGGGTACAAATATTCCTATCAGTTTCTCTGTTTAATTTGATCTATGGCTTAAATTCAACTTTCTCGTTTATGCTAGTTGAATGGTACAGAGACAATTTTCGCAACTGGAAGAATGCGGAGAAAGCTTTGGAACCATTTCCTGTGGCAGAACTATTTGCACAGCTTGATGTATCGTAGGGAGGAAGAGCGAACATAAAGGAAATTCATCCTCTCTCCTTGTGACCATGTCTTCTTTATAGAAACTTGCAGTCAAGTGACCAAGCTGAAGTCTTCTCATATTTCAAGATGCATGGACAATTATGAATTCACAGCTGCAAATAAGGAACAAAATGGGAAAGATTTTCAGAGCTTTTTAATACTTGATTTTGTAGATGTAAATCTGTTAACATCAGTTTTAGTGCAATATCCTTAATTTTTTATAGAAATTTATTTTAAATAACTATATGAAGGATTTTTATAACACTATACATTGATACACTTGATTTTAAACCTGTTTTGTTCACTTTGACTAAGAAAGATTTTGAATACAACTCTTGGTATTTTTGATGAAAATAAGTTATTGGTGTGTTTAAGTTCAGAAATGCATCAGATGTACTAGACAGGTCATCACTTCTTATACTTGTTCCATCACGTTAGCTACAAAATTATATTTTCTGTTCAGGCGTTTAATAATTAAGGAGCCAAATGTTTTATACTCTACCAAAGGTATACAGAATCACCAAAGGTAGAGATGAGATCTAAATAGTTACAATCTATTTCCCTGCCATTGCAGTATTGTTCTCCATAGATCACTATTCTAGAACATTGTCTGGTCTAATTTTAAATGTCTTAAATAGCATGAAGCTTGTATTTAAATTCATTCCATTATCTGTCTACATTATTTTCAAAGGATTTTGTCACTGTGGTCATTATCCAGTTATTACCTTTTGTATTACCCCAAATAATTTCTTTCTCCTTAATGTTTACAATTGGAATGTTTGGAAAAACTTGAATGCTAAGTTTGTTACAGTATTTCAAATGTTATAATGTCCCATGATATGAAGAATATTTTTTGCCATAGAGATAAAAGCTAAATAGTTTTGTTTCACTGAGTTGTGGGATGGTTTGCATTATCAGAGTTTAGATCATCTTATCAATGAAACATTGCTTGTTAGTAAAACTTCCTTGTAAAATGCCCCCTTTTTTTATAGAGGGGAGAAATATCCTGTATTTTCACATAAAATTCAGTAGAAAACTATAATTAAGGAAAAGCTGCTAATATGGATTTTTCAATGTTAATATTTGAATATAAAGTGCTTGTCTAACTCGATTATCTTCTGTTATGCATGAGTTGATTCAATTTGTGCCTCTTGGTAAAAAGTTAAATGATGGCATTCTATATTAACTGAATCTTCCAGGGGCCTTGAAGAGTAGCCCTAAGTCGAGAACAAGACATTACCCACTCTTGGAGATGACAAGGACGTGAATAAGTAGAGAGAGCATTAAATGGTCAACAGAGAAATTGTTTCATAAACTATTTTAATACAAGCTCATGCTTGTAACACTGAACACATAAGGAATGGAAAAAGCCAAGGTTTTTGTAGAGAACAAGATAGTGAGATAATATATTTTATTGGACCAACTACTGTTGGTGGAAGGGACAAGCTTTTGAGCTTCACAGAGCTATTCCTCTGGTCTATAGAAGGTAACCAGTGTCGGATCTAAATGCAAGGTGGGACATATTGCTAAGCATAAGTGTTTGCACATGTTGTAGGAGATGACTTAAAATTAAGTCGGCAATGAATAGCTCTGCAGTCATAGGATGATGGAACGTTAAGCAGCAGAGTGTGTTACAAATTATTGTAATGAGCACTATAACCAGTGTCTTTGTTAAGTTTATGGTTTGTAGTGTCTCGCAGAGTTATGAATTTAAGGTCTCAAGCTCATCTTTTGAGGTTTCCTTTGAGGATGAGGACTCAGAGGCTGGATATGGAGTGATTGCTTTGTGAAGTGTTCACCCATGGGTGATATATTTTTGTCTTGTCTTATTATGCTGCTTGAGTTCATTAGAGAGCACAGTGATTGTCTGATTTCCTCCACGTAGTTATTGGGGCATTTGATATATTGGGTGAGGTACACCCCATTTTGTGACAGGTGTATGTAGGACCTATGGATTTTTAAAGGTATGTTGGTGGGGGGGGGGGCGTTATTGGTCATCATAGTAGTGGAGCTATGACTGCAGGTTTTGCATCTGTTCTGGCAGGGTCTTTTGCTGCTTTGAGTTGGTGTGTCCTGGTCAGTAGGGAGCTTGCTTCTGGTGATGAGGTTGGGTTGTTTGAAGGCCAGAAGAGGGGATTTGGGATTTCTTTCAGGATGTGGTCCACATCAAATATGGGTTGTAATTGTTTGCTGCCCCAAATAGGTTCTATTGTAAAGTTGGGGGGGTGACAACTAGGGATGTGCAGGAAGTGTTTTTTCCCCCTCTGTATTGAACCAGGCTCTCCTGGGGTATTTGGGTGGCCCATTCCATGATGCAGTCTACTTCTCGAGTGGAGTGTCTGTGTTTGGCGAAGGCAAAGACTGCAGAGGTATTAATTGTCCACTTCATTTTAAATGGTCCCTACAACATGTGTGAACCCCTTATGATTAATAGTCTGTCCCAGTTTGCATTTAGCTTGGTCACTCTAGTTACCTTCACCAGACCTGAAGAAGAGCTCTGTCAAGCTCAAAAACTTGTCCCATCCACCACCAGCAGCTTGTCCAATAAAAGATATTAATTCACCTACCTTGTCTCTCTCATATCAAGGGACCAACACTGCAAACTAGTTTTTCATAGTAATGTCAGTTCATTATCTCTGATCTTGGAAACTGCAGACCCCTAATCTGTAGTCTCCATAAATTCTGGATCCCTCACCTCTGTCGTGTGCTGCTATTCTGCACTTACTTGTCTGCACCAAGTCTTAGGATCACATCAACTTGTCCTCAAACAGCTTCACTGCCTCTTTAATCACTTCAAGATGCAATTCAAAATGGTTTGCCTTGGCAAATAGGCCTACCAGTTTGTGCTGTGGTTCTGTGATGTCTCGCAAGCTCAGCAGCATCTACCTAGGTCAGATTTTGGACTAGAGGCCTCCAGGGAAAGCCCTAATGTTGATTAAGTAGGTGATATTTGTCCTTCTGCTGGGGCACTGGTTCAGTATTGACATCATAATGCTGCAGGACTGGGTACTGTAATGCGGAGGAGATGTTACTGAGTACATGGCCACTTTTTGTGTGAAAGAACTATCACTTTTGCAAGAGTAGAGATCTTGCGGCTTGATTGAATTCCGCTTGGTATTTATAATTCTCATTATATTCCCCTGTAGTTTCAGCTGGATGTTGATCTGCTTCTCCAGTCAAAAATAGAGATTCACTCCGCAGATCAGTTTGTATCATTGGAGGCTTCTCCCTTTTACTAAACCAGGTTTCCTAGTGGTTCTACCTTGGTTTTGGGGCGGTGGTGGGGCATCAGATAATTTTATATCTTGTTTTTCATAGTTATTGCAGTTAACCCACCTATCTGAAGGGCAGAACATCAAGGAGAAGGGGCTCGTCTGGTCTCCTTCCCCTTGATATTGCTGTCGCCATTTTTCTGTGGTACACTTCCTTGGCAGTTAAATTGCCTGGTACACGTTGAACCTTACAAGCTTGATGTAGCTGGTTTCTGGTCTTCATCTCTGGGATTGTGGCAGGTAACTCCCATATCATTTCAGAAACTCCTTACAGAAAAAAATTTGTCCTTAGAAAGCAGTTCAGTCTTGGAAACAGGAGTGGATTAAATCTCCTTTCTCTTAAGGCAGAGGTGGCTGTCATAATTTTTTTAAGGCTAGAAGTGACCACTGTGATCATCTAGTTCAGGGTTTCTCTACCTTTGGGTCATGACTCAAAACTGGGTCACCAGAATGTGTTAAAGGGTTGCGGGACAGGCTGGAATCAGCCCTCCATTCCGGGCCTTGCCACCTGCTGCAAAAGGTTACAGTTACTCAAGGTTGGCCCAATCACGCCTCCCTCATGATGACAGGGAGCTGACTGGGCCAAATTTGAGTTACTAGCACGACAACCCCATGTGCCAGGTTGCAACACCATTCTCACAAATTGAGCTTGGCCAACCTCCTGTCAAGGAGGCCAGGCCAAACCTGAGCGGCAATGTAACCTAGCTTGCTGCAATGCCCAGAGTGGAGAACCAAGCCCAGCCACCCCTCTGGGATGGGAGCCAATAGGAAGCAGTTTCTATCCTGTTCTCCAGTCCTGGCCCCCTGTTGTACCACCTTGCAGCTGAGTGACACCCTGTGTTCCGAACCCCTATCTGTCCTCCCAGCCTGGGCCCCTCAATGTACGCCTCCTCTGCAGCTGGGCAACTCTTCCTCTATCATGCTACCCATCCTGGACCCCAGCCTCCCAGATCTTTTTATAATAATAATATAATATATGGAGATATACCTATCTCATAGAACTGGAAGGGACCCTGAAAGGTCATTGAGTCCAGCTCCCTGTCTTCACTAGCAGGACCAAGTACTGATTTTGCCCCAGATTCCTAAGTGGCCCCCCAGGATTGAACTCTCAACCCTGGGCTTAACAGGCCAATGCTCAAACCACTGACCTATCCCTCTCCCTTTACCCCCATGGGTCATGTGGGGGCTGTTTTCTGGGGTGCTATTTGGTCACCAGCCTCCATATCCTTCCCCAGAATCCCCAGCTCCTTCCTTAGTGCATCCTGAGACCCCCACTCTCTTCACTTTACCTCCAGGCTCCCAACCCTCCCTTTCCCTTTGCTTCTCATGGGATGTGTATATTTGGGGGAGGGGTAGTCTTGGCTCTTTGCCCCTCCCCCAGTTGCATCTGGAATCTTAGCTTTGAACCCTATCACCCCCTGCTAGACCCTTGCAGATGAGGGGGGCATTGGATTTTTGGAGACCTCCGAGTTACAACGGGCCACAAGATTTACAAATGGGTTCTGATCCCAAAAACGTGTTCATCTGCTGATCTAATCTGACCTGTATAACATGGGCCAAAGGACTTCCTTCAGTTAATTCCTCTTTGAACTAGAGTATATCTTTGGCTTCGTCTACACTGGTGGCGGGGGGAGGGGGGATCGATCTAAGATACGCAACTTCAGTTACGAGAATAGCGTAGCTGAAGTCGACGTATCTTAGATCGACTTAGAATCACTTACTTCGCGTCCTAGCGGTGCGGGATCGACGGCCGCAGCTCCCCCATTGACTTTGCTTCCGCCTCTCGCCAAGCTGAAGTTCAGCAGTCGACGGAAGAGTGATCAGGGATCGATTTAGCGCATCTACACTACACGCGATAAATCGATCCCCGATAGATTGATCGCTACCCGCCGATCCGGCAGCTGGTGTAGAT